CACACACACACACCCACACACACACACACACACACACACACACACACACACACACACACACACACACACACACACACACACACACACACACACACAGCCAATCTAGCCACTCCCCCTCCCTTCAGGCCGCTTTTCTCATTCCCCACGCCTCACCGCTAACACACCTTGGCATATCATCGGGATCTCATTTACTTCCCCTCTCTTCTCTCTCCCTCCCTCCCTCCTTCTGCATCCATCCATTCTGCAGCAAGCAAAGAGAGGGCACAAGCCAGGTACAGAACAATAGAGGCAGAGGGAGAGAGGAGCGGAGTGATTGAGAGCGAGAGAGACTCAGAAACTGCAGCGTAACCTGTGGGATCATCCTGTTTGTGCGGCCGGAGCTTTGCTTGATGCCTCGTCGAGTCAGAACGGCCGGGGCTGACTTCACTGCACTATGTTCTTGGCAGACATGCAGACCATTGTTTACCTGCAGCCTCATTACACCGGTGTGCCGCTTGAACCTCTCTTGTCATGTGTGATTTAAGATTCACAGCTCACATTTTTCCACCGCGATGGTTTGTGATGCTGAGGATAAAGTTCCAGTATTTATTACTGTCAGAAATACACAATGTGACTGGTCTTCTATGTGTACCACTCAGCCCTCTCATAATAACGGACAGTTTGAAGTTGTAGTTGTAGTTGCAGGAAATCTTTGATGCAGTAGAGAGAAAAGTAAAGATTTTTGGCAATGTATTGGATCTAACGTTCAACCCGGACTGCAGCTTTCATTCTGTGTCAGCATATCCATTGATCGTGTGTGTGTGTGTGTGTGTGTGTGTGTGTGTGTGTGTGTGTGTGTGTGTGTGTGTGTGTGTGTGACAGTTCAGCATATGACAGATCACAGAACTTAACAGGAAATCTGTTGATCATTGAGTTTACATGCAAGTGCATCTCTAACATTTGCCTTGTATTTGATCTTCAGAGATGGAAGTAATGTTCCCCCCCATGATCAAGATCTTTCCAAAAACATAACTTAAATCAGATCACACAGTTACACTTTTCCATCACCACAGTCCTTCTCTAACCTTAACAAAGTTGTTTTACTAACCTAACCAAAACATAACTTTTTAATAATGCTGAAAAAACTTTGATATTGAACGTTGAATATCGCAAATGCTATTTAAATGTAATCTGAGGTTTTGTGGGATCATCCATTATCACTATTCTGCCTGGTGAGTGAGTTGCTGTAATTTGATGGATCCTCAAATCACTTTTTTGTCTTTTGAAGGAAAGTGCGGGTGTGATGTGTAGATTAGAAGCTATTAAAGGTTCAACATACAGAATCAGGTTTACTGCTCACTTCACTGAGATGCCATTAATTGGAAAAACCTGCTGTATCCAGAAGGAAACTTTGCTGTATCTGTTTACTGTTGACTTCCACACAAGTCAGTTGAAGTGACTGTTCGATATTATACTCCAGTCATGATATGTGATTACTGAATCTTATAATTAGTGCTTAGAAGCGATCTGATTGACTAATATTGGGTTTACCAGCAATTGCCAGACTAGCAGAGGAGCAGCGCTCCACCCTCCCAGGCATCAATTTGGGACTAATTGTCTGTGATTTATGCAGGCTTCTTTCTGCTCTGCTGCCACTGCCTCTGCCGGCCCTGATTGCTCTGGTCCGTCTTTGGCTGGCAAGGGGCAATCCTTGGAACCCGTGCGCGCTGGATCAGATGACTGTGACCTCTGTGAATATGAAAGGTCAGAGTGATTTGTGAGGATGGCAGGCGCTGCGCTGCATCACTCTCCTGTTGAGGCCTCGGGGACATCGTCATTTTCAGGAGAGATGATAAGGGGGGGGGCAGGAGGATGGGTAGAGGCACAAGTGAGGGGAAGAAAGAGGCGGAGTCATCTTAAAGAAAAAAAAATGTTTTACAAGCAGGAAAAAAAAAAGAAGAAGAGGTGTGTCGGGTTCAGGGGTGAAGAAAAATAAGAACGCTGAGCAAGGAACAGTGGATGAGGGAGTGAAGGAAATAAAATTGGAGGGGAGTAAAAACAAGTGGGGAGGGAATTGTAAGCTGCCACCGTGGCTTTGTTCCACGGCTCTCGTACTGTATGTTACATGTAATGAAACAGACCAAGGGTTCCTATAACAAGTCAATGCAGCAGCTCACCGCGATCCTTATTTACCTCCCAGCCGACTGGAACATATTGACAGAGACTGATAGACTGATGAATTGTGTGTGTAAGCCAGAGTATGCGTGTCTATTGGATCCCAATGGGGGGTC